ACAACTTATGCAACAAACTGATGCAGAAGTTTTTGCCAAAAAACTCCAGAAAGCATAAAAAAACAAGGTAAAAAAAGGCATGCAAGAAACTACCTCATGATCGATGTATGCTTTCCAATATCGGCCAGCGTTCGGAAACTGGGTGACCAGCTTCTCGTAGAACGAACGCACCTGATCAATCGGCCTCGTCTGCAAAAAATAGGACCAATTATAACAGTAAGGCTTAACAATTTGCTGCGGACACACACACACACACACACAAACACACACACAGACAACCCCGTGACAAAATACGTTTTGTACTGCTGTTACACAGCGCAAAACGCATAAAAATGGCTTGCAATGAGATACAACACATACACTCATCCAGACAAAAAACCTCATCACAGAAGCAAGGAAAACACCAGTACTTCCCAGTGAAAAGTCGAAGAAGGAAAAAGGAAGTCAGAAGACGCAGCACACTGATCACCAACTCTGTTACAGATCTGATCATAGCTGATATCGGGAGGCTGCCAGATGCGTTAATGCCAAGAAATGTGCGCTACAATGGCAACTAATGAAAGTACAGACATTCGCTTATCTCTATATCGTGCTGCTCCGTGTTCCAGTTCACACAATCAAATTATAAATAAATGGCCAGCGCACCGACTTCCGGTGCGAAAATGCGTTTTTTGCATAGTTCCCCGCAAATTTTTTGCATAGTTCCCCGCAGATTTTGTGGCTATCTGCACCAGTTTTCCCGGCAAGTGCTTCTAATTAAGAGAACTGAGACTGGCCACCAGGACTGTCTGAAAACATCCCTTTAAAATTTCAGCTTTCTAGCTTCCCTGGTTTCCGGGTTAGCAACTTACCTGAAAAAAACTTTCACGGACCCGTACGTAGGAACTACGCATACCCGGAAGCTGTGTTTGAACTGATACCTATCTGGACACAAAACACCCTGTAGAACTTCAGTTTTCCAACTTTCCTGGTTCCCAAGTTAAAGATTTATCCGCAAGAAAATTTCGTAGGCTTGCACGTGGGTACCACGCGGGTAAGACCGCCCATTTTGGGATGGAGGCCCGTACACGCATGTAGATTAAGTTCCCGAAGTTTCAGTCCCGTGCCTCTTGTAGGTCTCGAGATGAAAAACCGGTATAGATGCACAGTGCACACACAGACACACACATACACATACACACACAAACAGCCCCTCGTCAGCATGAGTTTTTGCATTGCATAAATGCAAAAAACGCATAATAAACTGCTTTTACTTGGTATTTCACGGTCTGACGCTCCATACAGTCATTGTTTGTGCCAGGTGTGCCTATGCATCCAAAACAGTGATCGCTTTATCCAACATTCGTAAAAACTTTGTGGCCAGTGGGGTACGTCTAAATCCGTCGCTTACATCTGCTGCGTCTAGCAGATGTGCTACAGAAGTACAGACAAAAGCTGGTATCTCCACTGTTGAACCAATGTGATAGATGTTGAGACAGTTACGACAACCAGAACGCATGCAGATTTGGCGCTCCAGGAAGTTTATAAATGATAAGAGGGAACAGAGCAGATTCTCTCAGAGGAGAGTGCACGGTGAGATGCAGAAATCTGCGGTGTAGCTTTCACGAGATAAACCTCAAATTTGGGTTATTAAACTGATTATTATTCAGACACAACTCGGGCAGGCGCAAATGTCAAGATATTCGATGTCATTTTTTGGCGATGAAATTTGGCAACTATCCAATCAGCTTTCGAAAAATGCCTGGATTCTGAAATCAGATCATAAATTCATATAAAGATGGGCAATTATCAGAAAGTGTTCGATCGTAGGCGAAAAGAGACTGTGAACCTATGCTCAGAGCTGGGCAAAGCAGATTCATAATTGCATGCAGTCAGCTTCAGTTTTTCTCCTTAGCTTCTCTAACTTAAGATTTTTGCTGTGAAATATCAAGTAAAAGCAATTAATAATAATAATGTGACAAAAAAAAATTTGTCAAAATTACAATGATTTAGGGTAAACTTGCCTGAGATTCTCGAAGCAAAAGATTCCAAGCATCCACATCGAATGGATTTAGCTCAATGCGTCGCTCAGGGCTCACTATTGATAGCGAACTCATTTCTTTTTGCCTCCTAAAAAAACATCAAAACCAGCTGAATCCAAAAATAAGTGGCCGGGCCGTTTACGCGCTCACACTGCATTAAAAACATCATTTTGCATATCACATACGATTAACAAAGAGCAGTTCTAGCTGAGCAGACC